GAGAGTGAGAATCAACAATATATGTATATACTTACACGTTTAAATGTAGCTCAGTATTGTTACGTTAGACTGAATTTTCTAGAAAACCTTCCCACGGCTATAAATATAACCGCCGCGCCAAGTAGAGTAGCTGTTATTAGTTCGTTATAATTAGTGTGATATAAACTTCGGAAGCTATAACTGTAATTGTTATAACGCTTATCAATCGGAAAACTTCAGATATTTGACCAGGAACCTTTACAAAGTTCGAACATTACAAATCATTTAACTTCAGTGGATTCACATCGGACATTAATACTTTTACGAACACATTACCTAACTTCAACGGTGAGAAACTCAGAGTGTGTGGCAAAGGACAAAGCTAGCTAGCTTCCCGTTAAGCGAATCGTATCTACATCAACTCGTAATTAACTCGCTCACCCTCGATAAGATATCAAGGAGATTTCAAACTAGAAAGAAGACGTTATATTGCTTGTAAGTTTGTGAAACTTTTGTTTATAAATTATTGTTTGTAATAACTACTTGTAATAATTGTTATTGTAAATTGTACTGTTGTGTGTATATTAAAACGTTTTTGTGTTAAAAAAGAAAACTGTGTATCAATCTTGTTGAGAAATATTACAAACTGACTATATATCGGCATTTATTTAAATACTAAATCCAAAGTACAATTGAACTACTAAATTCAAATCATCAGTCAACTCAATTTCCGACCATTTGAAATTCCAATATGTAACACGAGCATGAATACTAACAACTGGCACATCTCTGGCCCTTACGCATTCCTGCAGCCAATTAGTGTTCCAGATTCATAACGATTTTGTGTTCTTTCTCCCTCCTTACCTGAAGAATAGGTGAAATTAATTGGGTTCCATATGAAAGAACAGTAACAAAACGAAATATGCATCTTCTTCTATGACAATAGTAGCATGTTTTGCAGTAGAATCTACTGCTGTCTGAGTAATGGATAGGCTTGCATTGCCTTCTGCAGGTATTGTTTTAAGTCCATTTCCATTTAGCTTCTCATTAAGCATGAGGATGCATTCCTGTTTCTTTGTATTATTGGCCAAGAAGCGTTCTTCTTTTTTTTTTTTTTTTTGTCTAAATGGACTTTCCTCCAGTGAACTTCGCTTGGGCACCTAGAACAACTTTTGATCACTGAAGATGTGCAGTATCTTTTGTAGACAGGCCTGCACTGTAACCACCATAAACAATGACGGGGCTACTGCACTCGTGTTTAACATGATTTACATAGCTGTTGCAAATGCAGACCAATATTGTATCTAGTTTCAATGGTAGTCATTGAATGAGTGAGCTACCATCAAGCACTTAACACTTTCCTTCTTTGTCTGCTACATTCATCCCAGTCCTTTGCCCCACAGTCCAAATTGCTTCATCAAGAAATGGCTTGTTTGTCCTTTGAAAAAGTCCAGTTGAATTAAATAACGATGTTGGATTGTTGCACAGCTGTTTTGAAAATGTATTCAATGCTGTCTGTGACTATACAGGCACATAAATATTCTTACTGAATGAATTTAGCCAACAACAAAATAAAAATGGCTGCCATTTTTCAAGATGGCCGCCAATTACCCTCGCCAATATACATCTCTGACAATGAAATAAATATAGGTGTCCGATTTGAGTGATCTAAAAATATTTTTGTATGGTTTTGGTCAAACTGAAACTATTACTGACAACCACAAATACCCACAGTGCACCAGTGAGCTAAGTATCATGTGTTGATATATTCCTACTGCCGTCGGGGAATGGCCGAGTCTCAATGCATACAATCGCTGCTGTCTATGCCAGCATGTGCTGATGTAAATGATGTATGCAAGATCTCACAGGCGCAAATTGTCTGATAAGTTATCTACATAAAGATGTGACAAAGGCCAGAAAGATCGGAGAGGACAAAGATAACCTGGTTATACTCTGGTTTCTTCAGGATTAAAAATCCCTTTGTACTGGGACCATCTTAGCTGTACCATTGGTGTTACAGCTGACGTCACTGTGAATACTCATAAAGCAAAGAAAGTGGGAAGCAATATTCTTAGAACCATGGAAAGAATTAATTCTATGGATTTCACATTAAAGAAAAAACATATTAGTTACAATGGGCCACAAGGTTTCTGAATTGATGGTGGATCCACTTAGTTAAATGCCCAGCTGCTTTTCCAGTTTTTGCTAATGGTTGAAGAAAATTTATTCGAAAAAGCATCACCTTATTCTAATATTCACTAAATATCGGAAAAAATTGCCCTGAGCTGCCATCTTGGATTTATGCAAATTAGGAGCTTCTTCATCTACAGTCATCTAATTTTTGATATGTTGTTCGGGAGGGGCTTCAGAGTTATTTACAGCAAACCGTATTTCTGTTGCAATTTTGTTTGGGTTTGGCGATTTTCCCGCTAGATTTATTGGGCTATTATCTTATTATTACTGTTAGTAGTAGTGGTACTATACCTAGAGTATACTGGTGAAGTAGTAGCCTTTTAAATTGTTGAACAATTTTATAGGTTTATGCTTAAATTTAAAGTTAGTAACTGCTAGTTACTAAACAGAGTAGTATTAGTAGCCACACCCGTAATAAAAACAACAAAAAATGATTTATAATTAGGCTTAAATTATTATATTACATTTTTTAACTTGAGTTTTAAGCATAGGTCTAGGCATTTATTACATATTATAGGTCTTTATTATATATATATGTATATATAATAATTACTGTAAATTTCAAGTATGCTGTCTTTGTATTTATTGCATTATAATATAAACATTTTATTATGTCTGGTGGATGAGGATAAAAAATTGAATTGTAATATAATGTCTACAGTCAAGAAAATCGTGATTTTTGCAAAAATTTTGGTGACATTCTAAAAAGTAAAATAAGCTATACAAGTAGCAGAAATAGGCACGCTTAATCCAATACTTTGTAAGTTGGAGTCCTATTCGTATATTTTTAATGTATTACCATAACGTTTTTTTTTATTAGACCTTATGATTCGAAAAATTCTAGTCCGTTTTTTGTATCATTAAGATGTCAAACTGAATAGAAATCAATCATCTTATGAATCATGTAAGGAGAAAATAATATTTAACGTTATTACAAATACTTGTAATAATAATATTAATAATGTTAGGCCTTGTGGTGAAACTGAAAGTATATTATT